ACAGGGAAAAGGACAAGGAGAAGGACAGGGAGAGAGATAAAGAGAGAAACAAAGATCGCGAGAGAGTCAAAGACAGGGATAGGGACAGGGATAAGGACAAAGATAGGGACAAGGACAGGGAAAAAGAGAAAGATAAGGAGAAGGAAAAAGAGAGGGAAGAAGTAGACCAGAACAAGGAAAAAGAAGATACTGAGAAAGAAGGAGAGAAGGACAGAGAGAAGATTAAGGACAAGGAGGGAGATAAGGACAAAGGAGGGGACAAAGAGAAGGACAGAGACAAAGAAAAAGAAAAAGATGGGGATAAGGAGAAGGAGCGAGAAAGAGAAAAAGAGAGAGATGATAAAAAGAAGAAAGAAAAGAGATCCAGAACACCCCCAAGAAGCTATAGCTCTTCAAGAAGATCTCGTAGCTCCAGCAGGTTTGTTTAGAATTTTTTCATGCTTTTTTTGACTTGTCAGTTCAGTGAGACACCATCCTAGTTTTTATGTATCACTATCACCATGTCTCTTACTAATTAAATTTGTATTATTTCTGTGTTGTAGATTGTCCTATAAAGTAAATCTATTACAAAGAGCTCTGTATGATGCTTGATAGAACATAGTTTCTGTTGGGCTGCTGGTGCTTGCCTTTCACATAACCATATAGTATAGTCCTTGAGGACAGTAAGTAGATGATTCTCATGCCATTTCTCTGTGTTGGAGCCATTCAGAAGTTCTGATAAAGTGACATCACACATCATCTTTGTCCTGATGAAAGTTTGAGTCACTGTTACATAGTTCTTTGGTTACTTACATGCTGTACAGTGTTGGTCTGTGGATCTTACGAACAGTTGGGTGATAGTACTTGCCACTCTTCAGCTGGATGTCTGAACAGCAGGAAGCAAGCATGTCACTTGGCTGGCTAGCCATTCGGAAGGTGAATGTATCTCAGTGGGAAGATAAGGACACCTTGTTTAGCTGGTTAAATGGCCAGGTACAAGTAAAAAGTAACATTCCTTAATGATACTGATAGTAAACAGGAAAACATTCAAGTTAATGTAGCTGTTGTTTTTGCCTCTGAGGGAGGCTAAACTGGGTGGAAGTCTGGATAAATTCAGTACAGCAAAAGGAGGCTGTGAGATTGATTATAAGTTCTGTAAGTGGACTAACTCAGGCACATTCTAATAGCGTTGTGGCTGACTTAAGGTGCTTTGGTGGAAAAAGTCCTTTCTGAATACCTCTGGTATTAGAGAGTTCAATAACATCACATGTCAAATTTAGATACCAAATTTTATCTGTTACCTTCAGAGAATGAAATGCTAGATGAATTGGGAAAAATTCTATGTATTATAATCATTTCACTGGACAAAAGCAAAATTCCCACAGTCCTCAAAATTCAGGAGTTCATGGTTCATACAAGGCAGAAAAGGTTGTAATAATTTCTGAACGTTCTATTTGCATTATATGGAATGTCCATGTTGTTTTGGAGGTTTATGGGCAAAATACTGTGGCTTCTTTAAGCATATGCAGCTTCCTATTTTAATGCATTTTTAACATTATTTCATGGGTTCAAGACCTACGCAGAGTAGAGGTAGTTGTGCCAGCTTTGAAAACATAACATTTTCTGTCTGTAGGCCTCAGGAGTTTTGAATTAGGTAAGTGTAGGAAAAAGATTTAAGATTTTGACAATGTGTAGCTTATATAAGAACCTTGGTGGAAGACCCAGTTCCTAATGTCAAATAGCAAGTGTAGTTAGCTGGATGTTACCAAAAATTCATACTCTAGTTTGCAACAGTTATGCTCCCCTTTAAGAATCTTGCTATTTAAGAAGGCATCATGGAAGGCTCAAATGCTATGTACTTGGGCAAAGAATTCTAGTGAAAATTAGTGCATCTCTTCTAGTGGATACACAGTACAAAATCCTACTTTGAGATGAAGTTAATTTTTTTTATACACGTTACTAAACAAAAACAATGTTCTTTTGAAGTTGGAGGATGAGAGGAATACTTTTTTATATGCATTTACAATTCTTTCTTCAGATGCAGCATTATCCTTAGAGTATCAATACTGGGGCCAATACTGTTGAACATCTTCATCAGTGGCTTAGACACTGGGACAGAGTGCACCCTTAGCAAGTTTGCAGACAATACAGAACTGGGGGAAGAGGCTGGTACACCAGAGGAGTGTGCTGCCATTCAGAGAAACCTCAACAGACAGGAAAAATGGGCTGACAGACATCTCATGGAGTTGAACAAAGAGAAAGGCCAAGTCCTGCACCCGCGCAGGAGTAACTCCATTGCACCAGTACAGCATGGGGGCTGACTGGCTGGAAGGCTGGCTGGCAGAAAAGAACCTGGGGGTCCTTGCAGCCAAGAAGGCCAGCAGTATGCTGAGCTGCTTTAGGCAGTGTTGTCAGCACGTCAAGGAAGGTGATTCTTTTCCTCTCCTCAGCACTGGTGAGGCCACATCTGGAATCCTGTGTGCAATTCTGGGCTCCCCATTACAAGAGACACACAGACATACTGGAGTGAGTCCAGTGAAGGGCCATGAAACTGATAAAGGGCTTGGAGCATCTGTCATACAAGGAGAGACTGAGGGAAGTGGGATTGTTTAGCTGGAGAAGAGAAGGCTGAGGGGGCATCTTCATCAGTGCGTATGAATACCTGATGGGGGAGTGTGAAGATGGAGCCAGACTTCTTAGTGGGGGCCAGTGACAGGCTAAGAGGCAGTAGGCACATATTGGCATATGGGAAATAAAGGCTTTTTTCTAATGTTTAAATTGTGTTTTTTCTGGGCAAACTGGAACGAGTTACCCAGAGAGATTGTAGAGTCTCCGTCCGTGGAGATACTAAAAATCTGACTGGATGTGGCCCTGAGTAACCTGCTCTAGTTGACCCTGTTTTAAGGTGGGGGAGGGAGAGGTTGGACTAGGTGGTCTCCAGAGGGCTCTTCCAATATCAGTAATTCTGTTATTCTTTGAAAAGTAATTGTGAATAGGCTGGGCTACAGAGCCCCAGTTAGCTTGCATTTAGGGGTATCTGTTTACTTTTGTGATTGATGTTGCCTAGTTGAAGTGGTTACAAACTTTGTGGAGAAGATTATCCAACAAACTGGTATTTCAGCTGCCTGGATTTACAGTGCAGCACTGAGTTGGGACTGCTGATCCTTTACCTGATGAGTGTAAAATATTGGACAAATAGTCGCTTTTTTTGAGAAGAGGTGAAGGTGGAATAGGACATACAGGACCTTCTAAGAACTAGGTGGCAACTGATGGTGCTTTACGGTCAGACAGCATGCAAGTACTAGAAATCAGATGGCTATTTGTGATTCCTAGCTGAAGGAAAAGGCACGCACCAGAGGAAGAGGAGGATCTGGCTCCTTTTCCAACAGACATCTACAGGCAAGCAGAGGAGATAGGTATAGAATGTTAGTTCTGTGTATGATTAAGAGACACAAGGATCACTATCAAAGTATTCAGACTTGTTTTTTCTTAAATTTTGCTGTATTAGTATTGCTTAAGAGTGTTAAAAGAACAGGTGCACAAAAATCTTTGTATAGACAAATGTAATAGAGATGGAAACAAATACTGTCAGACACACTTGTAGTTCTTCAACTTGAAATATGAAAAGCAGAAACTGAAAATTAGATTTCATGAATAAACAGTTTCTAATTTGAACGCAATTACTAAGGCACTTGGTTACTCACAGATATCTATGTTGGAAAGCAAAATAAGGTGGGAATGTACTCAGTGTAGCCCAAGTGGGAGCACTGTCAGAATAATATATCAATTTCCAGTATCCTCATTTGAAAAAAGGTGCTGATAAATGTGAAGATGTTCAAAATGAGATGCATGTTAACTAGTGAACAGCTGATCAGTAATTGTGTTATTTTCTCTATGATTTTGAGGCCACTTCATATTTTTGTTTACCAAAGATCAAATCAAACTCAAGAGCTTGCTGAACAAAATAGTTATGAAATTTTGTCCTGCGCAGCTTCAGGAGGTCACGGTAGATGATATTGTCAGAGTATCAATCCAGATAGTGATACTAGGCATATCTTAATATATCCTTTTGTAATTTATTTAGTAACTGTTGATTTCTTGGCCTTTCTAAATACTGAAGATATAAATATTTACACCTAATGGTGTGAATTGCAAAAGCTGGTATGCATAAGTGTAGCTTTTGTGCCATATCTTGAAGTGCCCTCTCAAATTCCCTGTTTTTCTTTGATGGTTCTTCCTGTCTGCTTTTCCTCCTCTGTGAAGAGGTGGTAGGAAAAAATCATCTTACTTTGACAGAGATAGGTTATACCTTTATGTTGAATGAAGCTTTACTGGCTCAGTTTTTGCTTTATTTTAACATGGACCTCAGTATGTTTGCAACCAGTTATTTAATGTTTTGTTCTATTCAAGATCAGACTCCATAATAGCAACTTCAGCAAATTCCATATATCTATGTAAAACAGCTGTTCTGTAAAATACTATGAGCTCTTCAGTGTGTTACAGAATGATAACATTCTGTTTGCTGAGCAAGGACTGCTAGGAAAACAATAGATACTAACTTATTTATTCTGATTTTGCAACAGTTTGAGCTTCATTTTACACTGTTTGCTTCTAAACCAATAGGAATGCTAGCTCATGTATTTAGGAATTAAACTTCAGTCAGGCTGAACTGAAATTACAGTGATCTTCAGGTTGTAATATTACGTTTTGAAGTTCATATTGCTTAAGTTATGCCTTTTGTCTTAATGTGGCTCTTCATTCAAATGGATTCTTCTTCTGACTGAAGAAACTCCTACCTAATACAGAATTAGTGAATTCAGTGCTTCCATTGTTATAAGTACAAGCATGTGAGGATAAACAAAAAACTAAAATCTGAAAGAGCACAACCTTTTTTTTCCCACTTCCAGCCTCCCCTTTCCTACCAAACTGAAACATACAAAAATTTTTTTTTTTTGCTTTGTACAGTTCATATATTGTTGGTGATATATAATGTTAAATTCAGGGATACTTACTTAGTTTGTTGTGTCAGATCACTTAAGAGCTTTCTGTTTTTATCTGGTTCCTGAATTTATTATTTTTATTCTTTGATGATCTTCAATTTCTTGGTCCTGTAGAGAAAGGCGTAAAAGGAAGAGTAGAAGTCCCTCCAAGTCTCCTAAAACATCCAAAACAACAAAAAGAAAGTCTTCACGAACTCCTTCTCCAAGAAGGTCAGTTTTGATGTAAACATAAAAGTTAATGAGCAGCAAAGGAGGAAGAATTTCTAGTATTTTCATTGTTTTACTGCCTTTGCACTAATCATCTCAGATGATTTCCGTTGGTCAGTATGATACAGTTTTAATTTAAACCAAAACCAAACCAAACCAAAAATCTTCATGGATGTGAGCTTTGGTATGCTTTCAACTAACTAGAGAGTTTCAGATCTGTCAACAATGCAAATTTGCTTCCAATCAATAAAAACCCTTCATCAGATACAGATTAATTTGGTGTTCTCTTTGCAAATACCATGCATACTGAACACATGCATTCTTTAGCTCTCTTCAGTCAAAAAATTCCCTTGTCTTTATGAAGGGGTTTTTGTTACGTTTTGGGTTTTTTTGGGAAAACCCACAGATGAGAGTTTAGTTTGCAGTTAAATGGTTTGAAGATTGTTGCTGTTGGATCAAATTCTGATTTGAGTAAAAATTTTCTTAAACAGAAACAAGAAAGAAAAAAAAAGAGAAAGAGATACAAACAATGAAAGAAGAGAAAGAGAACGCTCCACCTCCAAGAAAAAAAGTAGTAAAGAAAAAGAGGGAAAGGAGAAATCTGACAAAAGCACCACTACTTTGAAGGTAAGCTGTGTGACCAAGTGATAAGCAGAGTGAAGTGGTGCTAGTGGAGCCATTATTGAAATTCCCTCCTTTCTTTTTCTTTCTTTTCCTCCTCCCTTCTTTTTCTCCTTACCAAATTATTACCATTTGGGTTTAGCTTTTGCCAGTTGGAGATCTACAGTTGGTGTTAGCGGGCAAGTTTAATAAGTCTCTGTGTTTACTGGACCTATAGGAGCTTGTGTGAATAGGTTACGGAAACACTTTGTTTTGGTTTCTCTTTCCTGTTCTGTGCCATATGTTAGGACTTAGCTGGCTGCCTATATGTATGAGCAGGCAGGAAGCAGACTGTGTAACTAAGGAGCAGTGTTCAGGGACAGCTTGGCTGTCAAGCTGAAAGTATTACATTTTTAGTAAACTTTTACTCTGCAGTTCAGCCTCTCCCTGGTTGCTTTGGTCCAGGTCTGCGTATTGGACTCTGCAGGAGTAAAGTTGAAGAGCTGGGGAAGAGTGGTGTGGGATTTTCCCCTGCGAAATAAGAAGTGGTGTGATTAAGAAAAGAAACATCTTCAAATCATTTAATCTTAGAATTTGAAAAAGCAGCATGCCTTTAAAGAGTAGTTTGTTGTACTGAGAATTATTCAGCTGTTAGAAAACAGCTGGTTTAGGTGACCCTGTCCACATTCTTAAGTAATTAACTTACCCAACAACTCTCTTAAAATGCATCGGATACCTGACAAAAAATAGAAAAGAAAAAATTTAATCCTATTTTATTTAGAAAATATGGTGAAATCTTAATTTCTGGAGCTGTTTCTCATAGGTTCCATGATGCTGCTTGTTCTGTTTTTTCTGGATATTGATGATAAAGACAGATCACTTTATGGCAATGATTTCTTGGATGACGGGTTGTTACAAGTGCCTGACTTCAGCCAATTGAAAATAAAGCTTTTTTTTAAAAAAGAAAGAAAAGAAAAGAAGCTGACACCTCTATTCAAAAAATTGCTGAGACAAGATAGGCATGTAAAAATTGAGACAATAAAAATGACCAAGAATTGGTTGGAAGTCATACCCTATAATCCTAATGCTAAGAATGATTTTTTTGTAAAATAATTTTATCTTTGGTAGGACAAAGATCACACTAAAGAGGATCAGAATTCAGAAACTGACAAGGAAGTAGACAACAGAGATACACAAAGGACAGATGAAGTCAAACTACAACAGAATGGGAACTGTCAACCAAATGAAGAAAACCTCTCAATTAAAATGCAAGAGGTTTAAAGCAAAGAACGGACCTCTGCTTCAACTAAGGAATGAAATCCAAAGCCTCTATTTCCCAGAATGAGGAAGAAAATGTTAAAGCAATCAACCTGAACGTGTTGATAGTACTAGTAGCTCTTCCAATTCTTGTGATAGCTTTTTTGTCTTCTTGCTGTAAAGCAAGAGAGCACGGACCAGTAGTTATACCATGAAAAGGCAGATGCCATCAGAACTATTCATGTCTGAAAATCCATGCATTTCCATGATGGCTGTACTTATTTGTAAAATGATTTATGTTAAGTTTTGCCATAAGCTGTTACAAATAAGTAGAAACTGAAAGATGTAAACCTGTACTACCCAAAAAAAGCTGAAGATATGCATTGAAGGTTGTTTAAAATACTGCTTGTTGATGAATTTTGTATAGTTTTACCTTGTGGGTTAAAAAATCCACAAAAACAATGTGTACTGTTTGATGTGCTTGGAAATGGTGCATAAATATACACACTTTCTTTTGTTGCAAATGACAACTCTAGGAAAAGGGTTTTTAAACATAAACACAGTTTTACGGTTCTTATGCTAAATACCCACTGACTAGTATGTTTTTCATTTGCTCACAGCTTGAGATTCTTAGGTTTTATTATTTAAAAGAATTTCTTACTAATATCCCTAAAATTAGTATTTCTTTTAAAGTATTTGAACAATGCATGCTACTTTTCTGTTCCTAAAAGGAACATTGCCATGTTATAGATAATAGGTTAGCTTAGTGGGTTATTTTGGGGTTGTTTTGTTTTGTTGTTTTCTTTTGTCCTTCCAGAAGTGAGCACATCTTTATATTATCAGAACTTACAGCTTTGTTTTGAGCTGTACTGCAGTGTGTCTGTTCAGCTGCAAATAGTACAGGTGCCATTATGAAAATAAATTTTTCTTATTTGTTTAAAAAAATATGGGAGCACAAGCAGAAGCTTTAGTGCCTTCTTAAAATGTGGTATTTTCTAGAAATTTATATGTGCTATTACTCATTTTCAGCTAAATCTTACATGATCTCTATTGCTATTTTGCCACCACCATACTGTAGACAAGAATGCAAGTGATTTGTCAGAATTGTTAGTTGATTCACTTGTTAAAATACTAAAGCTCCATTTTTACTTTTTATTTTTAGAAGAGATTTATAGATGAAAGCAAAGATGCAATTTGGGGACCACCACTGTACAAAATAGTAGCGGAATACAAAGCATTTTCTGATCACCTGCATCAAAGACAGCCCTTTAGACATGTAATCTACATTTGGATGGCCTTAATTGTTACCTCACCATCATCTTCTCTGATACCTGATATAAAAGGAATTGTATGCAAAGAAGGGGGGATAAATAATTTGGGGAAAAAAGTTCTAATTTACACAGGAGTTATATGGTAGAGATTCTTTTTTCATTCTTTGGGGGAGAGAGCATGTAAGAAGAGAATGACAAAGCAAATTATTTTTGTCAAGGTAAAACATGGCTTGTGTTCTCTGAACTAATTTAATCAGTTACATGAGATTTCTTAAGAGTCATACCTTTAAAACTTATACCTAAAATCGAGTAGATTATTTTTAATACAACTTAATACAATCAAATGACTTAATTGCCTTATCTCATGGGAAGAGTTATTTCTCTCAGTTAAAAAAAAAACTTAATAGCATATTAGCTATTTGCTTTCAATTTGTTTTTCTTTTCCTTTGCATAGTTAATTCTTCTGGGGGAAAAAAAAGCATATTACAGGGAATGAAAAATTTGCCCAATTCCTAAAGTAATGAAACCCAGTTTGATTGTGAAGCTGCTTAATCACTCTTCATTTTCGATAAGATTTAATGTTCTTGCCACTGTGTACATTTAAGACTATAGAAGATGCTTTACCATGTAAAGTATAGACAGTCATTTTTGTGATGTTTAAGCCACATGCTGTTGGCTGGTAAACAGCTTATTCTGATAAAAGAATGACAAATCTGTATGCTTACAGGAATACTGTGAAGGATTGTGTCTTGCAACAACAGCTGTCTTATTTATGATGTGTAAGTAGCATAGAGCAAAGAGATTGTTTGTATACTTGTTATCTTTGGTACCATTTCACTAATAAAATTAAGTATTTTAGAGGGAAGTTTCTGCTGGTACATACTTATTAAGGGAATATTTTTAGTTGATCTGGTCTTATTCACGCAGCTTCTTTGATTTGAAATGTGGATACTAGTGAAAATATACATGTTTTATTTATAATACCTTTGAAAAGCTGAGTTTCTCCATTGGGAGGAATTAGAAATCATGTTTCAGCTGATACTAGTTTGATTTCTTGAGTTTTGTTATCCTGAAATTGCATAGCTCTACTATATATCAGTTACAGAATATGTAAAGGATTGTGTACAGTTAGCTTAAGAAACATGCCTCTGGAAATTAACAGTTAAGGATGGCAGTCTTACTAGCTAACTTGTAATGTGTAAGTCCATATGCAGCACATTGTTATATTGTATGTGAATTAATGGTTCCCTTACAAAAAGTTTTTTTTTTAAAAAAGGCAAAAAAACCCCCAAAACAACCAACTACCAAATGCATTTCCTCCCCATCTCAAGTCGTATTTTCTTACAAATGCTGTATTTTCTGGTTTTGCTTTGTAAATACTGTGAGGTAGTTAAGTTCTGTCTGTCTATACTAGGTGTTTTACAATTCCCTTCTTCCTAAAAAGCCACTACTAGAGAACTATTAGACTGTAAAATGCCTGTCTCTGCAGAGGGTAGCTCATTTTTAAACCAGTAGTGTAGCACAGTAATGAAGTTCCCGCTTGCTCCAACAGGATTGTGTGCATCATCCATTGAATGTGTCCATCTTCCACTGGAAGTCCATTGCCTTCATCGTTAAAACGTTTTGCATGCTGAGCTGCATTGTCAGATTGTTTGATTTTGCACTTTATAAATGAGATTAAATTGAGTGGAGGTTTTGAGAACAGTGTAGTTCATGATAGCTGTATTGTTTTAAATGTAATTTAATTTGAGTCAGCCTTTATTTGAAAATGTTGCGACTTGTAATTGCTCAGAAAAGTGATGATATGGTGCCATTTTGCTAAGACCATGTAAAACACATCTGCATAAGCTTCCATTAGTGACCACAGTTAATTCACAACAGTGTTTCTGAATAACAGATAGGACTTTTCCTTGGATTTTGAAAGAAGAAGGCAGCAGAAGACTTACTGCTGGTGGATGAAGCAGAATTCCAAGCTCAAAATAGAGGTAGCTGTGACTTAGATAAATTCATTGAAGTCAATAGGTTTACACAGGTGTGAGGGATGAAAATTTGTTTGCAAACACTGATAGTAGTATGGTACATAAGGAATATTGTTTTTCATATTTCAGAATTAGAACTATGACTATTCAACAGGACAAGGAGGGAATGGCTTTAAACTAAAGGGGGGTAGACTGAGTCTAGATATAAGGAAGAAATTTTTTACGCTGAGGGTGGTGCAGCACTGGCACAGGTTGCCCAGAGAGGTGGTGGATGCCCCATCCCTGGAAACATTCAAGGTCAGGTTGGACGGGGCTCTGAGCAACCTGATCAAGTTGAAGATGTCCCAGCCCACTGCGGGGGGGTTGGGCTAGATGACCTTTAGAGGTCCCTTCCAACCCAAACTATTCCATGATTCTAACTCAGAGGGGAAAAAAGCACTTCAGCTGGAAACTAGAAACATCTGAAGCATACCTGAGAAATTGGTGAGATGTGGGTTCTACCTACTCATTGGTCACCTGCTAATTTTTTTGATGGCAATTTCACATAGATACGTCTGAACTAGCTTTACATTAGCTGGCTAACAGCAGCAACCTATGCGCAGCTGGGATTCCGAAACGAGCTGTGGCCACTTGAGTGTTTACTCTGCTGCAAAGAAGGTAAATTTCTGTAGTCTGTAGCATGCTTTGCATTGCTTGCTAGTGTTGTCTGGCCCAGTTACATCTTGGGCAACACCTGAAATTACTTTGAAACTCTGCAAATCTGTTACATGGTAGCTTCTCCCTGTTGCCCTTAGCTTGTAGTGGTATTTTGTAATAGTTACTAGATTTGGGGATTTCTTTGATTTTCTTTTGGTCTAAGGAAGAGATAATAAGTAAAGGCTGCTTTGTATGATAGAAATTACTGTGTACTTCATACCTGTCCCTATTACTGTGTTATTTTTTTCATTCACGTGTATGACTATTGCAAGCAGTAATGCCGTAGTGATGTGTGTATCTTCTACTGCTAGGTCTGAAGCATCTCCGCATCACCTGTCTTTTTGTTAGTGTGTAATGAAACAAGGCTAGAGTTCAGGTATTTTAATTTTGCTAGGCATCCACTTAGAGAAAAAAACCACAAAAATCATCTTGAATTTTGTAAATATTAGTGTGAAAATTGCATTATAATGGTAAAACAAATTATCTTAAAGATGTGAATTCTGAACAATGATTTGCAAACGGGCGTATTCTGGGTCCCACCTGCCACTTGGTGGTACTCTGAGTTTTATAGCAATTGACTATTGCCTTTGGTGTTATCATAATTTTAAAAGTGAGAATTGGACTTAGTGACACAAATGCTGAGATCTGTAAATGGCTAAAATAGTGTAAATCAGTAGACGCTTAGTTCAGAGAGATGTAGTTTTCTCACCAGAGAGTGGAGTGTGGACAGTTGAAATTTGTAGATATCGTTAAGTGTTATTACCTAACGAGAATCTAAAATTTAATTTTGTTTGCTAATATGTAAACAGAAAAAAGGTTTTCAGCCTGTACCTTAGGTTTATTTTTATATGTTGAAAAGTGTAATTAAAATAATATTGAAAACTAAAATCACTGTACAAAAGGGATTTTTTTTTTTATGTAAGAGTGTAACACACTTTCAATTGTGTTTAATTTTAAGCTTTAAAAAAATGTCTTTGCATGCAGTGTTTATTTTTATTTCAAATTCAAGAATGCTTCATTTGTAGGTAAGTCCTATTGCAGGATCTGAGCATGTCAGTATGGGGGGTTCTTCTGTATTCTCTTCAATATAAAACAGCTTAATAAACTTGTCTAACAATATGTGGAGGCAGCTATTTTCCCTCTAGTTTGAGGAGACACAGCTCTAACACTTCGATTCTGTATTGTTTAAGTAACTATTACAGTTGAGAAGCTATCTACGAACTTCAATTTTCACAATGTTTTCTGAAACAGTGAACTCTTACTATACAAGAGGGCAAAAGAAAATCTTTTTTTAAATTCTCATGACAGTTTTATGGTTGTTGAGCTTAATACAGGAGAACATGGACAGCAAAAATGAGTTTTTACCTGTTTATGTATTTTCTTCTGGAAAGTTTCAGCTTACACTTTTTTTTTTAATTCATTGCATTTTAATCTAGTGCCAAATTTGACACAAGACTAGAGATTTTTGGTGTACAAAGTATGTTCCATACTAATCTTGTTAATGAAATTATTCTTCTCCCATTGAAAAGGTTACGTGTGTCTTTTTTGGCCTGAAAGACTTCTCAGTAATGGTAGAAGAATAATTTCATCTCCCTTCACTCAGTCCGTGGTGTCATTAATGAGGCTGCCAGTTAAGTAGCTTTCTTAGAAGTTGTTGTTGCTCTACTCAATAAAACCTTCCGTAGTGCAAAGACTTATAACTACTGCTGCACTGATGAGTAAATCATGGGCCGCTTAGAAATTGCTACTTCATAAATACATAATTTTCATAATAATTTAATCAAAGGAATGAGTGAACTGCTCTGGAAACATCAAGAGAATAATTTGACATGCATAGTTCATGTAGTCTATCAGTAGATCCTTTCCGGCATTTTCCCACTGATACAGGAGCTATGATTCATTTGTTATACACGGCACCTATCACAGTCTGGGTTCAGATACACCTGGGGAACCTAAGCACTACAGCAGCAAAAATATTATTTCCCTTCTCCAAGTTTGATATTTCTGGTCTTCTAAGTTTAATAAGCATATAACCAAACTTGTTCCATGTTGGTAGAGTATATTTTTGCATTAATTAAGCAACTATGAAGTGGTACAAGTAAAGAAATGTTAAATGCTGCTATTATGTTGTTGTTATTTTTGTAAATAAACAAGTCCCAAAGTTTTAATGGTGTTATAAACTCACTTCCACTAAATTTGGATGAGATACAGCAAATGGTTGTGAAGCAATTCTATCTTTCTCTTTTTTTATTTATTTTTTTTAGGCTACATCAGCCCCAGAGTCAAGTGCTTTGTAACTAAGTCTGTTGGACTGATACTGACAAGAATATTACAGGAAAGGTGGTGAGGTGTTAAGTAATTGAATGTATCATCACTGTTTAGTTACAGAAGAGGCTTCTGAATCCCCTGGCTGAGCAGGGGATTTTCTTCTCCAGAGAAAACTAACATAGTTCCACCAGGGAGAGCTTGTCACTTTCAAACAGTGAGTTCATAAATGTGGCTGTATAGAAGTGTATGTCAAAATTCCTCTTTTTTTTTTTTTTTTTTTGAAGTAGGATCAGGAGTTCATGCAGAGCTTTTGACATTAACAGTACATGTCAAGTTATTGTCATGGATATTTTCATATCAAAATTCACTGTTTTCAGTGCTTAAGCTTCTCTGTTGCTTTGTATAATGTGTAAGAATCTGAATAAACAGCAATGATTAAGGAGCAAAACTTTGAGATGTGCTTCTCAACAGACTTTAACTTGCTCAGTAGGGATCTTACCTTGTGATTTTTGAGAGCAGTCATGTCTGTAGTGAGACTTCTGGCTGGTTTAACTCCTACTGATCGGGTGATTTAGTCAAGACATCCATGGTCTGGATAACTGCATATCACCATGCTGCTCCTCTGAATGTGAAAGCAGGGAAAAACAGATCTGAGAAATATATTGAGATGTCTTAGCAATGGTTCAAATTCTTGTATTACCTATTGATACTATATACTACCTAATTTCCTTAAGTAATTGCTCACTAAAAAGAAATTCTTTTTCGAGGAGGTGATTGAAAATTGACTAAAAAAGTGACAGTCTTTTAAAATCAAACTTTTTTGTATACGTGGCTTGTTTTGCCTATTTGTTTTAAGAAAACAGGCAGACGTGAGTGTTAGTGCTAGTCTTTTGTTAAGTGTGCTGCTTCAGTATCAGACCTG